TGAATATTACAAGTTCAAAGTTCATTCAAAGAAAATAGAACAAATGAACTCTTACCAATTCATAACTACTTGACAACTAAATCAAAAAAAAATGATCAATTCATCATCATCAAATGTTCCACCTCCTCCACCACTGCAACAACAACCATTAGTAGTAAATAATACTAGTACTAATACCACTAATAATAATAATAATACTTTTATAAATAATTTTATATCAAATATAAATGGTAATGAATTAAATTCAATTAAATCAAAATTAAAAAAACCAACCAATCAACATGTAGTTGATTTTAAAGAAAGATATGAACAAGCCTTAAGAAATGAACAAGATGAAAAATCAAAATTATTTAATAGAAAATTTATTTATTGTAATAATAACAATTCATGGATTAGAATTGAAAATAATTTAAATAATTTAAATAATAATGAAAATATAATTAAAAATATATATAATGAAATGATTGAATTTCCTAAAGAATTAAAAATAATAACATTAAATACATGGTTTGCAAATATATTACAAGATCAAAGATATACAGAACAATTAAATGTATTTAAAAATTTAAATGTAGATATTATATGTTTACAAGAAGTAATACCTTTATATGTAATTGATTTTATTACTAAAAATGATTTTATTAAAAATAATTATATTATATCTGATATAGATGGTAATTCTATTGATCCATATGGTGTTATGATTTTAATTAAAAAAAATTTACCTATTTTAGATATTAAAATTAATAAATTAACAACTAGAATGGGTAGATGTTTAATTAATTGTACTTTTGCTAAAAATATACCAAATTTAGATATTTATTTAAAATATTTAAATTCTATTAATAATAATGATATTAATAGTAATATTGAAGAATTAGAAAAATTAATACCAACCTATGCTATAATTGGAACAGTACATTTAGAATCATTATCATCTAAAGAAAGAAGACATGTACAATTAAATGAAATTTATTCTATTTATAATCAATATCCAAATACAGAAATTAAAATGTTAATGGGTGATTTTAATTTTGATTCATCTTCAATTGAAAATGATCAATTATTAACAGGTAATTATAAAGATTATAAAGATATTTGGTATTATTTATATCCAAATATAGAAGGTAAAACATTTTTATATCAAAATAATAGAAAAGGTCAAAGATTAGATAGAATTTTATTAAATTCTAAAAATTATATTCCAAAAGAAATTAAAATTATTGGAAATGAAAAATTAATTTTAAATGAACAAGATCAATTAAAATTAAAACAATCTTTTAGTTTGGATTATACATGTATGAGTGATCATTTTGGTTTATATTCTGAAATTTATAATATTGAATGATTAGTTTAATATTAAAGTAAAATATGTAAATAAATAATTATATAGTTCTGTATTAAGTTCAGCAGCTCTTTTGAATTTCTAATACTCGTCACAAATTGTGAAGATTATTGATTGACATTGGGCTAGAACTTGGTTTTTTTTGAGGTATAAAAGTAACTTTCATCATATTCACCAACTTTCACCACCTGTATGTTTTTCTATTTGTAAAAGAGATTTTCCACTAGCGCTACTCACGGTGATTAATAATTTGTCTTCTTTTTTGTTTGATTTGTTGTTCAAATTTATAATAAAGTGCTCAAAAATTATTTCACTTGCTTTTCCAATGAATTCGAAAATATCTTGAATGCCACTCATATTGTTTCGTTCAATTAAGTCCAATTCCTTATCAAGTTCGCATCTCAATTCATTACTTTGAGAAGCTAATGTACGAAGAGAACAAAAATTGGCAAGGAATTCACTATAATTTAGGTACTGAACAAAATTATAAATCAAGCCATACGTCTTGAGAACCAAATTGTTGGTTAAGTAAATAGGTACGTATTTGTCTGTTAAATAACTATTTAGTTAGATCACTTTTAGGTGTAACATTCACTTAACATAATAGGTTAATCCGTTCTATTGTTATAACGGAAATTTAATATGTTACCTGACGATTTGCATCTTTACCCGCGTCGGATAGTGTTTTATTTGTGTACTTAGGTTATAATATAACGTCAATGATTCCTATTTAATTAGCGAAAGTGTACTATTGCTACTCAAAGTTTTCGGTGTGCGTTATTAACATTGATATGCTTTCCTTGATGATATTAACTTTGAATATTTGGCTAACTTTTCAGGGCTGTAGGTTTAGTTAAATCAGCTTTGAATAGACAAATTGATGGTGTTTCTACTATCAACCAAACAAATTGATCATATAATGTCATTATTGGAAACGCGGCGTATATAAGAAGAAGTTACCATCAAATACTCCAAGACAGGTATGTCATATCGGATATACTTAGCATTCCACATAACGAGATTACATGTTTATGATTTTGTACAAACACTATATATAAGATAGTAGTATTTAGAATACTTAAATATCATCAACCAAATATTGATTCTTTGACATTTCACGAGTGTGAATCTTAGATTTGTAAACGACCATTCTCATTCATCTAAACCAATTTCCATTTGAACTTGAACATGAAACCTAAGCACCACAAATTATTTGTTGAAAAATATTTATACATCTGAAGCTGAAATTACACCATAAAGCAACATTTATCACATTATTGGATTAAGGACTTTATTATTTTATAAATCTCTAATTTTCATCGCAACAATCTTTGTTGATGAAACCCAAATTCAAAAGCTAAATCAATTACAAGACAATTTGATTTGATTAGAAGAGACTAAGAATTTATGGAAAAGTAATCTAAAATACTTATAAAATAGATTGCAAAATAGATTCTAACAAGTAGACTGTTTATTGCTTCTTTCTCAACTTCTATCAGA